ATTCTGCTCTATTAACAGAAATAGTTATTAAAGAAAAAAACTCTTCAAAACAAAATTGCTCTGCAAAAAAAGCAAAAGATAACACCTTAAATTTAGAATAAGAGCCAAATACCTTATCTTCAAACTTAAAATCTTTTGATCCAAAAAGTGAATCTGTAACAACTGATATACAAAAGAACAGAAAAAGAAAAAACAAGAAAGAAATACAAGAAAATGATACTATAATAGCAGAGGCAGTCACTACTAGGATGGGTACTTCCTCTTATTAAATCATAATACTTTCAATAATAATAATTTAAAACAATTGTATTTCATTATAAAAAAAATTACAATTGCAACTCTTAATATAAAAGGTCTAAACAATAAGGCCAAAACACACAAAACCTTAATTCTTTTAAAATTATATAATTTAGATATTATCACAATTCAAGAAACAAATCTAAATGATACAAACTTCAGAAGTTTTCTAGCTTAACAATGGAATTTTAACTCTTTCTGGTTCTCAAAAATAGCAATTCTTGCTAGCAATAAACAAACCAAAATTGTTGAAACAAAAACTTCTTTTGATGACTGAATAATTCAAGCAAAAATCTCTTATAAAAATAATATCTTCTTAATTACTAATATATATGCATCTCTAAATTCAAAAGACAGAAATGATTTCTTTAATAGCTAGTCTCTAATGATTAATGAAAACTATATAAATTTTATAACAAAAGACTTTAATATAAACCTCAACTTCCAAAAAGACCAAATAAGCTAAGCTTAATACAGAATAATTCTTCTAAAGAACTAGTTAAAAATCTAATTATAGACTTTACTAATATAGCAGAAACCTTAACAAATAGTTCTTTTCTAACTTTTATCAAAACACTAGGAATAGTCATAAAATAGTTACAAGACTTAACTATATTTTTATAGATTCTAGTTACAGTTTTCTAAAAAAAGAAACACAAATACAGTTCAGTAACTTAGACTACCTACTTGTAAAATGCACTATTAGCTTCAACTCTACCTTCACATATACTACCTTGTAGAGGTTTAACTCTCAAACTCAGAAACTAAGGATGCAATCCTCACAGAACTTCAAAAAATTGAAAACCTTAACAAGTGAGACTTATAAAAATATATATTTAAATCAATAATTAGAATAGCTAAACAAAACTCTCCTTTAGAAAGAAAGATTCAAACCTTATACAAGAGACTAGCAAGTATAAGTAACTGAATAGCTAGAGACTACAAATTTACAAGTCTTCAACCTGTACTTAAAGAAACTAAAATACAACTTCAGAAAGAATTGCAACTACTTTCAGAAAGATAGTAAACTAGATCTACTATCAGATGGATTGAAGAAAGAAAGAAATCTACAAAGTA